ACTGTTGCTTGAGCTATAGCCCGGGTTCACATACCAGTTTTCCAGTAAATCTTCCAGTATCTACGGCGCCAGGACCACAGATACCTGATTTACCAGTAATTCGGTATTTTCGGAGCCATGACCCCCGGTAAATTCTGACACACGTAACCATTCCAGTATCCTGAAGTTGCTGGAACACATGTTCGTGAAATGATGAGTTGATTTTAACTTCTGAGTGTGTTAGTCTTAACATTACCCACATGTGTGTCTCTGTCTTCCGAGAGTGTTAGTTCCAGCATTACCCACATGTCTGTCTCTGTCTTCCGAGAGTGTTAGTTCCAGCATTACCCACATGTCTGTCTCTGTCTTCCGAGAGTGTTAGTTCCAGCATTACCCACATGTCTGCCACTGTCTTCTGAGTGTGTTAGTTTTCCCGCATTACCCACAGTCTGCCACGTCTTCCGAGAGTGTTAGTTCCATCATACCACATGTCCCGCCACTGTCTTCCGAGAGTGTTAGTTTTCCCGCATACCCACATGTCTGTGTCTGTCTTCCGAGAGTGTTAGTTCCAGCATTACCCACATGTCTGCCACTGTCTTCCGAGAATGTTAGTTCCATCATTACCCACATGTCTGCCACTGTCTTCCGAGAGTGTTAGTTCCACATTACCCCCATGCTGCCACTGTCTTCCGAGAGTGTTTAGTTCCAGCATTACCCACATGTCTGCCACTGGGCTTCTGAGAGTGTTAGTTCCAGCATTACCCACATGTCTGCCACTGTCTTCCGAGAGTGTTAGTTCCCGCATTTCCACATGTCTGCCATGTCTTCTGAGAGTGTTAGTTCCAGCATTACCCACATGTCTGCCACTGTCTTCCGAGAGTGTTAGTTCCAGCATTACCCACATGTCTGCCACTGTCTTCTGAGAGTGTTAGTTCCAGCATTACCCACATGTCTGCCACTGTCTTCTGAGAGTGTTAGTTCCAGCATTACCCACATGTCTGCCACTGTCTTCCGAGAGTGTTTGTTCATCTACCCACATGTCTGCCACGTCCTTGAGAGTGTTAGTTCCAGCATTACCCACATGTCTGCCCCTTTCTTCCCAGAGTGTTAGTTCCATCATTACCCACATGTCTGCCACTGTCCCTTCTGAAGCGTTAGTTCCAGCATTACCCACATTCTGCCACTGTCTCCGAAGTGTTTATCCATCATTACCCACATGTCTGCCACTGTCTTCTGAGAGTGGTTAGTTCCAGCATTACCACCATGTCTGCCGCGTCTTCTGAGAGTGTTAGTTCCATCATTACCCACATGTCTGCCACTGTCTTCCGAGAGTTTAGTTCCAGCATTACCCACAATTCTGCCACTGTCTTCCGAAGTGTTAGTTCCATCATTACCCCCATGTCTGCCTCTGTCTTCCGGAGTGTAGTTCCATCATTACCCACATGTCTGCCACTGTCTTCCGAGAGTGTTAGTTCCATCATTACCCACATGTCTGCCTCTGTCTTCCCCAGAGTGTAGTTCCATCATTACCCCATGTCTGCCACTGTCTTCCGAGAGTGTTTGTTCCATCATTACCCACATGTCTGCCACTGTCCCGAGGGGTTTAGTTCATCAATTTCCCACATGTCTGCCTCTGTCTTCCGAGAGTGTTAGTTCCAGCATTACCCACATGTCTGCCACTGTCTTCCGAGAGTGTAGTTCCATTTATTACCCACATGTCTGCCACTGTCTTTCCCAAGTGTTAGTTTCCATCATTACCCACATGTCTGGGCCCCTGTCTTCCGAGAGTGTTAGTCCAGCATTACCCACATGTCTGCCACTGTCTTCCGAGAGTGTTAGTTCCAGCATTACCCACATGTCTGCCACTGTCTTCCGAGAGTGTTTGTTCCATCATTACCCACATGTCTGCCTCTGTCTTCCGAAAGTGTTAATTCCACATTACCCACATGTCTGCCACTGTCTTCCGAGAGTGTTAGTTCCAGCATTACCCACATGTCTGCCCGTCTCCGAGAGGGGTTAGTTCCACATTTCCCACATGTCTGCCACTGTCTTCCGAGAGTGTTAGTTCCAGCATTACCCACATGTCTGCCACTGTCTTCCGAGAGTGGGTTTGTTCCAGCATTACCCACATGTCTGCCACTGTCTTCCCAGAGTGGTTAGTTCCAGCATTACCACATGTCTGGGCCCCTGTCTTCCGAAGTGTTATTCCATCATTACCCACATGTCTGCCTCTGTCTTCCGAGAGTGTTAGGTTCACATTACCCACATGTCTGCCTCTGTCTTCCGAGAGTGTTATTCCATCATTACCCACATGTCTGCCACTGTCTTCCGAGAGTGTTAGTTCCAGCATTACCCACATGTCTGCCACTGTCTTCCCAGAGTGTTAGTTCCAGCATTACCACAGTCTGCCACTGTCTTCTGAGAGTGTTAGTTCCAGCATTACCCACATGTCTGCCACTGTCTTCCGGAGTGTTAGTTCCATCATTACCCACATGGTCTGCCACTGTCTTCTGAGAGTGTTAGTTCCAGCAATTACCCACATGTCTGCCACTGTCTTCCGAGAGTGTTAGTTCCAGCATTACCCACATGTCTGCCACGTCTTCCGAGAGTGTTAGTTCCATCATTACCCACATGTCTGCCACTGTCTTCCGAGAGGGTTAGTTCCAGCATTACCCACATGTCTGCCTCTGTATCTGAGAGTGTTTGTTCCATCATTACCCCATGTCTGCCACTGTCTTCCGAGGTGTTAGTTCCACATTACCCACATGTCTGCCCCTGTCTTCTGAGAGTGGGTTTTTTTCCAGCTTACCCACATGTCTGCCACTGTCTTCCGAGAGTGTTAGTTCCATCTTACCCACATGTCTGCCACTTCTTTCTGAAATGTTTATTCCAGCATTACCCACATGTCTGCCACTGGTCTTCCGAGAGTGTAGTTTCATCATTACCCACATGTCTGCCACTTCTTCCGAGAGTGTTAGTTCCAGCAATACCCACATGTCTGCCACTGGGCTTCCGAGAGGTTAGTTCCATCATTACCCACATGTCTGCCACTGTCTTCTGAGAGTGTAGTTCCAGCTTTTCCCACAGTCTGGCCACTGTCTTTCCGAGGTGTTAGTTCCATCATTACCCACATGTCTGCCATGTCTTTCCGAAATGTTAGTTCCAGCATTACCCACATGTCTGCCACTGTCTTCCGAGAGTGTTAGTTTTCCCTCATTACCCACATGTCTGCCACTGTCTACCCAGAGTGTTAGTTCCAGCATTACCCACATGTCTGCCTCTGTCTTCCGAGAGTGTTAGTTTCCATCATTAACCACATGTCTGCCCCTGTCTTCCGAGAGTGTTAGTTCCAGCATTACCACATGTCTGCCTCTGTCTTCCGAGAGTGTTAAATTCCATCATTACCCACTGTCCTGCCACTGTCTACCGAGAGTGTTAGTTCCAGCATTACCCACATGTTGCCTCTGTCTTCCGAGAGTGTTAGTTCCAGCATTACCCACATGTCTGCCTCTGTCTTTCCCAGAGTGTTAGTTCCAGCAAATTACCCCCATGTCTGCCACTGTCTTCCGAGAGTGTTAGTTCCATCATTACCCACATGTCTGCCACTGTCTTCCGAGATGTTAGTTCCAGCATTACCCACATGTCTGCCACTGTCTTTCCCAGAGTGGTTAGTTCCAGCATTACCCACATGTCGCCACTGTCTTCCGAGAG